CTGAGCTTCCATCACTTACTCAACATGCCAAACTGCCCTCACACTCACCCCCAACCTTCCCATATCATCTTGGCCTGGCTGAGGTGCAAACACCAGTCACAGGCCATGCCATTACCGTACTCTCCCAAGAACAGCTCTCCAACCATTATTAGTCACCATTTCACTTATCTTAAAACCCCACCTTTAAAAAGGTAGCTTCCTCCATCCCCCAGCAAAAAAGAGAGGGAAGAACAGAACATTTAAGGGTTATTTTCAAGTTTCTTTTTCAAAACAAGGCAGCTAAAACTACAGACAAACATACCTTTTAACTGCTTTAAAGGGGAAAGGGGAGCTCCCACTTGGTAGTGTTATGACATAACTGTTAGGTCTGCATGACCCTGTAGCAACAAGAGTTAGCTAAATCACTGTAACTAACTCAGAATGAGACAGGGTTAAAGCTCCAATAGTTTTGCTACACTTGCATTTCTACAGAAGTATGTAGATGTAACAGCTCATTACAGCTGATATTAGTATTCTTTGATAACAATACAATTGTTGCATCAGTCTCTACCCTAATGAGATACCTATTTAAAGGCCAGCAAAGACAGGCCCCAGAAACATCAGGATCAAGATCTCAGAACCCAGGAAGTCTGGGGGAATGCAGATACAGGGTTTTAATTCTCTGTCAAGGCTAAACGGGAAGAGTCAACATCACTCTAGGTGGAACGATTAGCTCATGCATGTTCATTCTCTAGACCTCTCTACTAGCACACTATTCTCATAGATTTGGCTTCCAGTAAGTTTCACTGTATAGGTACCCAGGAAAGGCTCTGTGAGCTTGTGATGAAAAAGGCTAAATGAGCAGAGTTCTGGTGGGGAACACTTTGGGTAGCTCAGTATAAGCGTGTTTAAATAGTTTCACAAGCAGGACATGTAGATACCCTATCCACCCCTGAGGAAGGTGGCAGTCTGGGATTGACATCAGGCTGTAGAGACTCCTCCCTGATTGGTTCCCCTAGCATTATGTTTAGTGTTGTTTGGTGACTGTTAACCTCTGTTCTGAATACTATATTTTGCAAGGGATCTTGGCTGCAGCCACATCGGTCTAAGCACAAAGGCAGACAAACTTTTTGGGCAGAGTTGATATATTTTATTAGACCAACTAAACAGGTGCAACAACTTTTGCAACTATTTAGTTGGTGTAATATAAGACATCACCTCTAACCAAATACTTTTGCAATACAGTTTTGTTGCGAGCTGACTGTGCCTGAGGGGAAAGAGAGTCTCAGAGAACTGGAGAGTAGAGAAAGGGTAGTCCTAAGGAGGACAGAAAGTTGCAGAGAAAAAAAAAAAAAAGTAGTCCTGGGGAGAACAGAGAGGGTCTGAGTGAGGACAGAGAGAACTGCAGTGGCACAATAAAGACTGCTTGTTTAGACATGATCAGTCTGCTGTGCTGTTTGGGATGTCAGCTCTTTCTCCTGCCCCCACTCTTGAAGAAGAAAACAGCTCCCCTATCAGAAGCTGATAAAAAAGGAGCTCTCTGAGGTGGGGGAGGTGGAGGTATCTACAGATAACCAGGGAAGCTACACTAGGGCTTTAAGGGGTCCTATGGGAGAAGGCAATCAGGCAAGGCTTCTTCTTGGGGAGTCCCAAGGTAGAGCTTCCTTCCCTTCAAAAGTAGTGTGAGCCCACATCAAAAACTAAACAACAGTATTCATCCCTCTTCTGCAGACAAGCCAAGGAGAGCCCAAGGCTCACTTTGGGCTGGTCCACTTCTGAGGATGGATCATGTCTCTCCCCAACTAGAGAGGAAAGGGAGCGCGAAATATCCTGCCTCTCCATCATACCTGTAAAGCCTCAATTGCATATAAAGTTGCTTCTTTAGGTTCAGTGAATAAACACAGTATAATCAGCTGGGTCAGAAGAGGGTCAGAGGGAGAGAAGTGACCTTAGCTTCCCCTATCAGGATTCCCAAGGTCTCACTCCCTTTCTCCCCTGCTCTCCAGCTCCTTATTGTACTGCACAGTGACAGGCTCCACTCTTGCAGCTTTCCACAGATTTATTCACGCTCCTTAGAGACCCAACTTAAGCTAAAACAGGCTAATTTGAATCCTAGCCCTACTCTCCAGTAATCCACTACTCCCCTGTCTCCCCCCCAGCTTGGTGGCATCTACAAACTTGTATTCCTTTCCCAAGTTTCTACAGTGCACAGAACAGAGCCCTCAACAAATTGAAAGATAGGACCAAAAGAAACCTCCTGAGGTTCAGTAAGGACAGTTGTGAAATTGTGCATTTAGAATGGAACCACCCCATGCACTGGTAGAGGCTGGGGGCTGACTGGCTGGTAAGCAGCTCTGCAAGAAAGGACCTGGGGATTACACTGGACAATAAGCTGAATATGAGCCAACAGTATGTCCTGGGAGATGCCCAGAAGACAAACAGCATACTGGGCTGCATTAGTGGGAGTGTTGCCATCAGATTGAGGGAAATGGTTCTTTCCCTTTATTTGGCACCAATGAGGCCAAATCTGGAGTACTGTGTCTAGTTTTGGGCCTCCTGCTACAGAAAGGATGTGGACAAGTTGGAGAGAGTCCAGCAAAGGGTGACAAAAATGGTTCAGGGGCTGGGGCACATGACTTCTGGGAAGAGGCTGAGAGAACTGGGCTTATTTAGTCTAGAGGAGAAAAGACTGGGTGCATCTATATGTTCAATTAATGTGCATTAAATCCAGTACCTCTGGGCACTTATACACGATTGCGGAGGCTACTCCAAAGCACTGAAATTCCAAGGCGTTGGAGCAGACTCAATTCATCAAATCTGCTGGAGCATGGCAATTACCATGCTCTGGTGTCCTGTTTCAGCGTCACCACACCTAAAAGTGATGGTGTAGGCACCTGAACTAAAGCTCAAATGAGCTTTAATTAAGCACTCCTGCTGCCATTTTTAAGTGTGGAGACACTGATACAGGAGACACATCAGCACTTTAATTAGAGCAGGTCTTGAAGCCACTAATTAAAACACCACCTCTCCCACCCCCAGAGCACATGTAAAAGTGCCCTCCATTGTGAGGTACTAAAAAAAAAAAAAAAAAAAATACACATTAGCTTATTTTAATGTGCATTAGCTAAAGAGCATGCTTGTTTGTGATGTTTTAACGTGCATTAAAATAGACTAATGCACATTAAACCGCACATGTAGACATGCCCACTGAGGGAGGATTTAATAGCAGCCTTCAACTACCTGAAGGGGGGTTCCAAAGAGGATGGAGCTAGACTGTTTTCAGTGGTGGTAGGTGACAGAACAAGGAGCAAGGGTCTCAAGTTGCTGCAAGAGAAGTTTAGGTTAGGTATTAGGAAACTCTTTGAGAAGATCCTCAAGGAGCACACCTGTGATGGGCCGGCTTCAGGGATGATGCTCGAGGGCAACCAGCACGGTTTCATTAGGGGCAGGTCATGTCAGACCAACCTGATTGCCTTTTATGATCAGGTCACAAAGGCAATGGATGCAGGTGTCACCGTGGACGTAGTCTTTCTAGACTTCAGCAAGGCCTTTGACACCTTCTCCCACCCCATCCTCATTAAAAAACTAGGCGACTGT